TGTTGTATCCTTGCACATGAATGACACATTGGCAATTTTTCCACCTTCCTATCAGTCCGTTCTCCAAACATCAATGAAAACAAGATCGGGAGGGAATTTGCAATGGCAAAAATGTACAGCACTCATAAGTACGTCTGGATAAAACAGAGTCACCTGATCGGTTGCTCAAGGCCATTTGTCCGTTCTCCAGGTAGTTTCTGTTTGGGCTGGTATTTTTCGAGTTGCCGTTTCTAGTTCATTTGTTGGTTGCCACTATTGTTTCTGGCTCGGTCGGTTACTTGAAACGTAGGAATCTGGGAAAAACAATGTCTTTCGCGTTCACGTTCACAGCATGCAACAACCTACGAGTCAGTCTAGTGAAAACAGCACGATCAGAGTTGATACTAGCAAGGTTTTCGAAGAGCATATTGAACCTTGAGAATTTGAAACCTGGTCCGAAGTTGAAAAAGCTCTGAATCTTTTCTAGAAGGTGGGTATACCATCAATGTGTCTAATATCAGATGAAAAACCCGACATAGTGTGAGAGAATCTACGTCAAATAAGGATGAGCCACATGAGAAGTGCGAATCTGTTGTGCTTGTATGTAATTTTGCGAAAAAAGAAATTGAGAGTCAGTCAGAAACCTCCAAAGGATAAGTGTTCCCTACGCTTGTTAGTGCCTAATGTACTAGATCCGAATAGATGAACTAAGACCGCCATTCAATGTGTTGCAAAACTACCTAAAATCGGATAACATACGATGATCTGGTGAGTGTACGAACTATCCCAGCTAGAGGTAGGACTTTAATTAGCAAGAATAACGTTTCGGGTTGTGGCTTACGATCGGTAGTCTTCTCGAAGTTACAGAAAGCTGAAAACCTGATTATTATGCGGGGTGAAAACATTGGCTGAATACAAATTGATTGTTTCAGTTCAAATAATGAAATCCTTATATATTGTGTGTTTGTAATTTCTCTGTGGGTATAAATACGGATGTCCGTGATTTTTAAGAAAATTTTAAATAAACTTTCCTTGAACCGATTGTCTTTTCGCAGTGAAACATCTGTTGATGTGATTAGACAATTAGGTAGCAAAGTAGAATGTTGTGATTGAGAATCGTAGCCGTTGTATTTCGGTTTAATATCGCGCGACTAGCTGTCATGACCCTATAAATATGCCTTTTTCCTTATGATAGATTATGATATCCATATATCATGAGCCTTGTCTTCGGTAAATTCATTTGTGCTTCTTAAGTGACTGCAAGTAGTGAGTCTTTTGAAGTGACAGGATGAATACCTCTAAACGCTTTCGTGGAGATTGGGGTTTAATTACCTTTTCGTCTAAGAGACGATCGTTTCGCCAAGAAAGTTCTCAGAATTTCCGCTTTTACTTTGTTATTCAAAGATAACGTTAAGTTTCTTACTAAGGTAGTAGCTATAGGAGATTACCTTCAGCGGAAATTATTTTAAGGTAGCTACGTGGCTTCGGGCAATGTGTCATAGAAGTGAGCAGAGTATGTTAATTGATTCTAAACATATTTAACGTTGTGTAGCGGTAAATAATTCCCCGAAATTATTGACCATAGGAATGGATTATGTCTAAGAGAAGAATTACATCGGGACCATAAGAATCATCAGTGAACATTGGATGCTGACCCCTAGAGTTTAAGTCAACTTGTTTAGCTGAAGGCTTCCCGTCGAGCATCACTGCCATTTGGTACACCGTCGTGTCACTTTCGTGCACAATAGCTGGCTAGCTTAGCTTCCGCTTCAATCGCGATTTGGTTCCGAAATATGTCTCGTAATTGGGACAATCAATTGTGGTGTTTTGCTTTGCCTTTGGGTACACGAGAATCAAATAAGATAGAAGTTGTTGGTATAAGATCTTGCGTTAATATGCTCCGTGTTTTTCGCGAATGTCTGTACCGTCAACCTCTAAAGTTGTATAACTGGTCAAATCGCAGTTCTTACATACCGGTTCGTCTTATAAATAATAAATGTACGGTGCAAGCGTTTACTTTGATTTGCATACCTGGCTCCTAGGCATTATACCTACATGTGGTATACACTTAGGGCTGATTTGAGGTGTGATGAGCCAGTAGAACACGGTACTATCGTGACTAAAGCAAGAACAGGTCAAGCAGGGTAAAGTGTCGTCATTAAAGTCTTATAATAATAATCTACTTAAATTCGAAGAATAGTACTTCTAATACATAGTGGAATTCTCAGCATTTGTCACAGCATTGCACCTGAATTACTTGAAATATAAATTAACCACAGGAATTTGCCCATGGTTAGGCTATTAAGTCTAAAATATTCGAGAGAGAATCATATATATGTAAGAATAATGAGAGTAAAGATTGATGGGATGAGGATGGGGAGAATGGTTTATTCACTGGTGCAATTAAGGTAAGTTGTAACAACAGAAGACAAGGGCCAAGCAACAGATCGTTTCCTTACGGATATCAACACGTATTTATATAGATTTCACATACATTATTATAGCCTAGTCAACTAGACAAGTGCAGTCTTCTGATTGGTTGTTTTCGAGTTCCTCGGAAAGTTGAACCATCTATCTGCGGATCATATTTGCCACGTTTAAGTTTGCTGTGATTGGTTGTTGAAACAGCCTTGTTCATATTTTCTCGCGGCCCATATTGGTGACCTAGACATTGACGTAGATTAATGTCAACCAATCGACTGGCAAGCTGCTCTCACCACATAGTTAGTTTGTCTCTGACACTACCTTCATCGTATGAAATACGTACCAAATTTGGTATCATGAATGTTTTATACTGAGGCGTGCACGCATACAATCTTTTGAAATGACTTCTTGTTTTACGTGAGGAGACGCAAGGTGAAAGCTGAGGGTAAGTAAATTGGATGCTCACAGTCTGCCACAATTAAGCGCCCATCGTCAATGACAATTGCAACGATAAGGCGCAAAGGGAGACCACTCGCCCTACTGACAGTCTTCAGAGTCCTACAAAGTATGACATAGTATTTTTCAAGCAATCCATGGAAAGATTAAGGTTGAATGGTAAAGAAGAATAGGTAAGATTCACGAGTTGACAAACTGTGAGAGGAGGGGTAGAGTTATCACTGAGTGCCTTGACCTCTTGAAGTGAAAAGTCAGACGAAATATTCTTTTGGAAATCGCTGAAACACGGGAAGATCAGGGTCTGTCAGAAGAAAGAATTATTCAAAGATACTTAACTTCGGACTTGATTTCTATATCACTATCATCAATTATACAACGGTCAAGGGAACTAACAGTCTCTCTCTCATCAATTTCACACTAAATACGTCTACATTAAGTGAGTTAGTGCAAATGTGTAACTTAGAAATTGACCCACAATCTCAGTAATGTCTAGTGAGCATAGTTTTATGAATCCTACAGGGATTACATTCTCATATTTAGGAATGTGTAGCCATCATATATAAGCTGAGCATGCCTCAACTCTAAGCAACTATGCACAGTGTTAATAGCATAGAGAAATAATTAAAATATTGTGAGATACATAGACCAGTTGTGTTGATGAGGATAACAATGTCATGTAATGCAACTTAGACATTCAATCGTGACGCTACATCTGTACTGCTTCATGTAAATGGAAATCTCAGGAGAAATTCATCTCTATTATTGGTGACCAAAAACATCACATCATTAAGTTTGCAATGTCAGTGGGAGTGGTATAACAAGCGGCAGGTTGATAATAATAGAGCCAACTAGATTTAGTTCTCATAATCAACACAATGCATGTGTATATTGTCACTATACACTGAATTAATGCACTAGCTGAAACAGTTAGGAAAATTAAACGAGATATTGCTTTCTCCAATGCACTGCATTCGCCACAATCACGAGTACTACCTATATTTGCTAGCTTAGCAGTCAGCTAAGCAGACAATGGCACAATATAAATAGAGGTATCTTTTATACATTGAATCCACATAACCTATATTGTACTGTTCCAATTGGTGCAGATACATTTATTAAATCCACTAAGGCATAACCTTTCAACTTACGATAATTCCTGTCCAAACACATACGGTGAAAGACACATCTGCATGATAACTTCTGTTGCCACAGAAGGTTCCCTTAGCATTTATAGGTGGTTCCCATGTATTGATAGCATTCATTTGTCAAACACTACTGTTCTTCACACGAAAATAGCCACATTGATATCCCGAGACATGAAGTCTACATTGAATGATGCTATGATGAAAGGTGCATCTTCTACATGAAGTAAACTATTTGTGTAGATGACATTACCCTCTAGCTATCCCATCTTCCTCATTACAGTGATATTTCGACACAGTCCACCTGAAACACTAATTATTGTAACCAATATGCTGAGAGTGTGTCGCAGCACATCACATGACGCGGACACCAACATAACTAGCCAGGAAATGAGGATTCCTATCAATCCAAAAACATACAACAATATTTTACTAAATATTTTCGACAAAAAGATTTACTGTGTGAAATTTCAACCAATATGCCGGATAAGTCCAGCCAACATTTGCTTGTTTATCTCTTCCGCGGGCCCACGAGATTAGGGTTAACGAAGGACTCTTTCATTCGAGCGTTTGGTGTGTGGCGGCGTGGTCCTAACTGCAGTTCGACTATTTGTGTTGGTCTTCTCTTTGTCGTAGCATAGGTGAGTAGTTTAGCGTGTATTCATCGTTTTTCGAGGTGACTAAAAAGTCTCTCAGAACTAATTGATAATTAGTCTACATATAAGCAAGCATTTATTGGTGAAGGTCTTGAACTCTACATCAGTGTCATATATCCAAGTGTATAAGTGATGACTTCACAATATTAATTTTAAGTGGTCCTTTGTCATGTAGCATCACTGTTCATATATGAACATATATATATATATGTCAGATACCCTATATTTGAGTTACAAATTCACTAAAAGCATCTACTACTAATAATTATTTCTTTTTCTAGATTGCGGTGGCCTCTGTGAATTCCATTACAGTTGTTGGTGTGATATAAACCGCAGAACCTCAATGGATTTCGGTGGGTTACATATACGTTTTCACTTTCATTTAAAGATAGTCATATTCGTGTTTCCTTCTTGTCTGTTTCCGGTTCTCATAAGTTTGTGAAATTGAATGAGGGGATCAAAATGTAACTTTGTTCGCTTGACACAGTCAGTACTAAGGGCTACAGTGTTCTCATTACTGTAACTGATCAACGAAAGATTTCTTCTCATAGTCGTTATGGGAGTCATGCGCCTTCTGAAATCTCTCATTTTATCCTGTCACGTTTCTGTGACTATTGTAAATCCCAGGATTTTTAGATTTAGGTAGGTTGTTCCTGGACATATCCAGTGTGATTGTTCAGAAAACTTCATTCTCTGTCCAAATGCTGGTATTTACACAATCGTATTATTCATTTGCCCGAGTATTTATCATGGGAGCGTCAAAAAGGGAAACTCCCATGATTTTCTTCGAGTGAGAAAATATTACCCTGTGGATTCATGACTATTTGTCGTAAGATTGTGTGGTAGAAACAAGTGTTTCCATCGTGCCTAAATGACTGCTGGGTTTTAGTTAATTTCGTATGAATTAGTTTGTTAACTGGTCTCCGGTGTGAAAATTACTGCATGACACCACAGTACATAAAGACCGTTCAGTGTGTGATGTAATCTCAGCATAATACTAAACTTATCGAGCAGCGTAATCTAAAGAGAAAGGCAATAGGGTGTTAACATCTGCTTCATATTTTGTTCTAGATCTCGCCATTTCTACTCACTACTACATTTGTTCTATTTTCTTCTGATACGACTTGAGTAGGTCTATTCATTCAGTTTTGTAGAAATTGGTTTTTACAGTCCTGACGTATGTATGTATATACTGTGAGTAAAATTTCGTTCCCACTCGCAATGATTTCGGTAATTCTTATTTAATTTAGTTAGAGAAATTGTTTATTGGCATGAGCCCATGAAGTCGGGTATTGTTGCAGCCGTTGGGCTGACATTACTCTTAAGTCTGTCATCCATGTCCCTGGTCTCTTTTATCGCCTACATCGGAATTGCGATAATGTGCTGCACGACGGCTTGCAAGCTTTATGGTTTTATTACGCGTCAATTCAAATCAAATCAGGATTCACCGAAAAACCCATTTGAGTAAGTTTGATTCTGATGAAATTTTATCTCGTTTATCTCTGGTTGTCCAATTATTTCTGTCGGAAGATTATTACCTATGCAAGTGTGTAAGCGACAATACATCCCAGCCTATTCAACACTACTATTGTACTAAATGAAGTTGTTTCATTACTAGTAACTCACATCTCACGTTTTCTAGCTCAAGCATATAAGGAGAAATCAAATAAGTCCCTTCATAGTTGATCAGATACAATGTTTTCATTCATTGAGTTTAAAAATAAAGGCTTTAATTTCTAGCGAAAAAAGAAGTCCACCAGAGAAGTGTTATACCTCTTAGCATTTGAAGTTGAGATATCTTCGGTAGACAAATGATTGTATAGTATCGTTGGCTTGTGCACTCAACTTTCAGTCAATGGGTCCCGGATAGGAATCTCGTTGTATTTATTAAAGCCTAGACAGCTCGATTGTATTACTTACTGGTTGTCACACAGTATGTGGCTTACAGTTTGGTACATAAGTCCGTTGCAAAGAGTGGAGGGCTAAATGTATCAAAATAGAATTCGTTGATTCGAATTAGTAGATATATACGATCAGTGTGTAACATTCGATTTCACTTAGTACAAAATCTACTTACGATGATTGCTGTTATATTAGAAGTAAGAGGATGTGAATGTATATTTGCGTACCTGTCATTTTGTTCTTCTGCGAAATGTATAATACAGTAGGCGATGTAATATTGCCTACCATTAAGAAAATCCCAGTAATTTATTACATTGCCTCACATTGTAGTTTTTCTATCTGTCTGTGACAGTTTTTTTCTCTGCATTATGTGCTCTTTTAGATTTTGGCTTGAATTGGAGATGACTTTACCTGGAGAAAAAATTGGCGAGCGTGTCGCAGCCTTGTGTGAAAAATTGTCCGAAAAGTTGAATTATTTACGTCGCGTATTGTGGTTGGAAGATTACTTTGAGACTGTAAAGGTAAATGTCACAACAGTACTTCAGTAATTACCAATTATTACCACTTTTCCTTTAGTAATTTAAGGGAGTTGACCAAAATCTGACCTAATTATACATTCATCTGTTAACTCTGTTACAATATCTCCAGTTTCAAAAGAGTTGACAGGATTGCCTTTTTACCATCTGATAAGATGTAATTGCCTAGAGCTTCTTATGAAGCAATTTGTTTGATGCATTGGTGTGTCAGCCAGCTATTAAATGCAGAATATGTTTGTTAAAAAAAAAGTTTCTCACCTACATCAGCTTCAACAATTGAGTAATATGACTAACTCTCACCGGATAAGCGTCACTCACATCTAGATACCGGGTATTTGAGTTTTGAGTAACTGCTTTTAACTGATGACAAAAACTTTTCTACTTACAAAAAGGTTATTTGTCATCTTCCCTATTGTCAAGAAATACCTTATCTACATTGTCTTATTCATTTCAATTATGTTAACTTGCAAATTTTCCTACTTTTCTCTGTTTATCATTACTACTTTCCAGTTGGTTGTGTGTTTATACCTACTTTCCGTAGTAGGTGCTTGGTTTAATTTGCTTACCCTGATAACTATAGGTAAGTCTAGTGTTATTTCGTGTGTGAATTCAACCACCGCTTCATATGTATATATATATATATATATATATATATGTAGGAATGCCATGATGGATGATGATTAGTTTGAATATACGATTGATGAAGTAATTAGTGAGTGCTAATATGGGTAAAGTTTTCCGTTGATTGTTGTTACATGATCTGCCTTAATGGATCAATGTCCAGGCGTCTGACATGGTTTCCATTAACCAAAACGCCATTCTTGTCATGCATTCGAATCCAGGGAATCATGTTCACCATAGGTTTCGAGTAAGGTTTTTCTCCACGTAGTCACCATGTCAATCGGTCTGTTCATAATTTCATGAAATCCGCCCTTTCACTTTCTTGAGAACAAACTTCACCGAGTGCAGTGCAATGTAGTACAGTAACTAACTTAAGCGTTATTCAGAAGGTAAGTTATGAGAGAAACGAAGAGCGTGGAGGAATAGAGACACTTCAATATCCCTCAAAGAAGAAGCCGACAACTTTATCGTCGACATTACAAAATGTTTTGCTCAGTTTAGTTTAAAATACAACATTCACTACTATTCATCAGTAGGTAAACCTCAGTCATTGCGGTTTCTTAACATTTTTGATCTGCTTTACTTCTGGCCATCAGTTAGTTAGTTAGTCAGTTTCACAGAGAACTGCTGACTGACTGCATAAGTATCAATCACTTTATCGCTTGATACCGGACTTTATTTTAGTATGTTTGTTTTACAATTAGTTATAGTGATTCTCGTAATGATATTATGCTGTAGACTATGTGGTAGTTGCCTCAGTATTCTATAGAGTAACTTCGTGGTAATGTTTCTGTAATGATAATTTTGTTTTTCAGCATTTGTTCTCGGGATGACTTGTCCTAAAATATATTTATTATGCAAGGTAAGAAACGTTTGCTTCCCTTTAGGCAATACAACACAAGACAATACTTACGTAATTTGATTTAATTCAATTACTTTTTGTATTTTCAAGTATTGATCTTTGTAGGGATTTCGCTTGATTGGTTGGGGGATTTCATCTTGAGCATGAAATCAGTAAGAGAACCATTGGAAAACCTAGGAGTACTGGACAGTTGTTTCGTCGTAGTTCGGGACCGCTCATCAGCACGAACCCACCGGGTTCCGAACTCAGGATCTCCTGGTTACAAGGCGAGCGATCTCGTAGACCATTAAGCCACTGGGACCCGACCCAGTCATCCTTAAATCCTAACTTCTGCCAATTCATGACATAGCGCGACCGATTCGAAAAGTCTTCTCCGATGAGTTACTGGTAGTAACTGATAGTTTTGTTCCCGATGAATTGGTTTTATTTAATATTTCTACATTTGTGATATAAGAGTAAGACTGAATTCCGAGTGCGGTTGTAGGTAGTGGTCGAGAGCCTGAAATATTATTGCTTGAGTGTTGAGCTTGTCGTGTAATGCATGTATCTGATAATTTCAGGTGGGTATATTGATTTGTCGGTTTGTTTGTTTAAGCTGAAATATACGGGATAGATTTTTCATTTAGCAGGTTGATGATGGTACCCAGTGAGTTATGCAGGACTCTAATCCGTGAGCCAATAACTAGAAATGAAATGCTTAACCCACTGAACCACATCCCCACCATCTGTGTAATGGTGCATTCATACGATATATATGTATACTATATATATATATATATATATATATATATATATTCATGGTAATTTGAAATGAACTTAATAATTTCTCTTGTTTAGCCCCAGTTTGATGCGGCATTCCAAACAACTAAGGAGAAAATCTTCAGTATGCTTAAATTGTAAGTGTAAAAATCTCACCGAAAGTGTTCTTTGTTCTTTTTGTTTCATCAGTCTGCCCTGAGTTATATACTACTACCTGCTTTGTCAAGCTTAATGAGTCTGATAACTTCATCAGTCTGTCAATCACCTTGTATAATCTAACGGGAAATATGTCTTTTATTTGAAGAATGGTATTTATCAGTCTGATACTGAACGAATCGATTGATTTGGAATTTTCTTGCTTAGTCATTTTACATGATAATATTTCAGTGAAATAAAAGAGGACTAGTCCTACAACAAACATCATTATTATTATTAATACTACTATTGTTAGCAGTTTGTACTTACTTATTTAACATTATAATCATTGGAGGACATTTTCGATAAGTTGACAGCGTAGCAGGAGAAAGTGCTTTATATGTAATTCACTAACTGTTTTCACATAATGTAAGGATAATAGGTGATTAGCACAAGGATACCTGCATACATTAATAAGATTCAGTGTATTGGACCACTGAAATCTAACATATCGAAGCAAGATAACCGACATAGTTTGATGATCTCTACACTTTGTATTATCCGCTTTATATGAATTTAATGTTTTATTATATACTAAATAGCATTGTAATCTTTTATTATTTCAGCGCTGAAGCGAAAGTATCAGGGCTTCGTGGGAAGCCTTCTACAGAATAATTTTGTAAAAGTGACAAGTCATCAAGCCCAACTCATCCAAAGATACATCACATTCTATGTACTATTTCATTCCTTCGATGTCTTCCTGTTCATCATTCGAAACCGTCGAGCACTCATCAGATCAGATAGACAGTGTTGACGTTAGAATGGCCGTTTATCAACGGATGTTTCATGACACTTCCGCTTCTTTGTCTTCGCCCTTTTCTTCTTCTTCTTCTTCACATGTATCCCAGTCTGATGAGAGATATATGTATAATTGTGTGTCAATAAAGCGATTGCAATTGCCATGGAATATTGTCTTGTGTTTATAGTGTTATGAGTTGTGAGAGTTGATTGTTGAAATAGAGAAGAAGTCAGTGGGAGTGATTTTGTAGGTGATTCGGATACTTCGATGTTGGAGCGATGAAAGGAAGATGTGTGAAATGATTCCACTTGGAGACTGTTATTAGCTGGTAGACTGACTTGTACCCTAAGGAAGGTGAACCTCGAAATTCGTGATTTTTGACTGCGTTGTGAGTGTTAGGCTAATGACAGTAGAAGATAGTGATTTCACTCTAAATGCGTTTCACATCGAACCTCGAATAAATGTGTGCATAGTTCTCCTCTTTATTTCTCATATAATGATATTGCACAGGCAACCAGCAAATGATAACTATTCCAATGGTAAAATTTACAACAACACATTTAAGCGAATAATATTGTTGTTTTCAATTAGATCTCATCAGGCTTAACTCTAATATACACCTACATAACTTTACAAACAGAAATTCAAATATAAACTCATCACGGTGTTTTTTCTATAGGATATAGGATAATAAGGCAGCGAATACAAACTGTGCCATTAGTCATAAGAGTGAGTGATAATGGTTCTATCAATAATAATAATAAGGATGAAAAATTGAGGCGATCTGTGATAGCACGAATAACGAAAAGCATCATGATTAAAGAAACAAATGTTCAGGTAGACATAGTAGTCGATAAAGTCTAAGGAAAGCGACTGAAGGGATTGAGTAGTGAGTGCTAGCTAGATTGTAGGGGAAGTAAATAAAATACGGTTCAATGAAGATGTGGTAAGATTAAGGGTGGATGATAAGAGAGGGTTTGAAAATCTAAGTAAGGGGTGGTAGAGAAGTTATCAGTTGGTTAAGTGTCAACAGGCCAAGGGAGGTATAGTGGCTGTACGAACTTCTTTTGAATGAAGGCATAGTTTAGGTCCAAAGTTTAGTTCGAATGGCTATCGCCTGCCTCAGCCTGTGTGCAGTAGGCGAATACGAGATCTATTGGAAAGATTCGGTGGGATACGATGAATTACTTTGGAAGCTGTCGTTTTCTCCACTACTACACGACCAATATCAAGTAAATGTGACAAAATTGAGCTACAGATTGTTTCTGTGTGTCCTTCGCCAAACCACGATGATGGGAGATGTTCAATAGTGACACATTGGCTAATGTAATCGTAGTATTAGTATTTCGAGATGACCGAATTACAAGAATCCAACAAAAACACAGAGAGGGCGGAATTCAGGAATTTGTATTTAGCGGAATTATTATGCAATTCATATAAGAAACATATTAACAACCAACAGTAAGTATTTAAACAATACAGAGATAGAAATTGTCAATCACCACATCCGCCACATGTCGAATATCTCCTTGCGTATTTATAACGATGTCTCGGTTTTCTTGCAAGTAGCTGCGACCTAACTGATTCCGTGATATTATCTTCATCACTGTTATCTGGACTTATTTCTGAATTATCTACAAAATCAGGATTAGTAGCGGAATTACTAATATTATAATTGGAACGACCTACTTCATTTATTGTCACTTTGTTCAGGTGTCCGTTATGAACTGAGTGATCTTTGATGTCTAATATCTTCACCACTCGATTTCCCATTCTTTGTAGTATGATACCAATAGAAGGTCTATAATCATTCCCTTTGTAATAATGTACATTAGAAGTCGTGGACATCAGATGCTTTTTGAGAATTCGAGATTCGAAAAGTTTTGCTGGACTTTCACGGGTACTTGTATGCTCTGCATTCAACAGACGCAGTCTATGCATATGCAACAATTCCTCCATTTTAATCAGTTGCTCTCTCATCTCATTCAGTTTTTCTCGTGTTTTCGACAGTTCGCATTGTAACTCGGCTACCACATTTTTGAAAACAGTTGACGCTTGAGTTGCTGAACTTGTAGTGGAGGTTTTCATTGGAGGAGCTTGAGTATTTTGAAAAGTTGAAAGACATATTGACTCGATTTTACTAGACAGATTGGGAGAATTATGAGAATGCTGAGTAACATAAGTATTCGAACTTCTGCAAACAGTCTTGATGTGTCCAACTTTACCAAATTTATGGCACTTAGCACCCCGAAAACGGCAAGTGCTTCGTAGATGTAACTTTCCACAGGATAAACACGGTTTAATGTTTTTGATCTCTCGCTGCATTCTATTACCTGTGGACGACAATTTGGATTGCTTCCCATGACCACTTGTATTTTCGACTTTGGACAACATGACATCAGATACTGACGTAGTGGGAGCAGAGTATTCATTATTGACATCTTCATATGTAATAGATAAATCTTTAGCAGTTTGAAAGGTACAAGAAGGAATCTGAATTAACTCTTTCTCTAACTTAGGAATATTGATTCCAGCAATTACACGATCACGTAGTTGAGTATGCAGCTCATCTCCAAAGTTACACTTTGAAGCTTGTATTTGAAGTTGCAGAATGAAGTCTCTAATCTTCTGGTTGGGAGCACGAACCAGTTTATTGAATTGAGCCCTCTCTCTGGTCTCAAATGTAGTTACATGAAAGTGGTTTATCAGAAGTTCACGAATCTTGACATATGACAGAGAAATGGTATATCTGGAAACGCCAGATTCTTTACTAGGCTATATGCATCTAGCCCAATAGCAGTGATGAAATGTGCTGGTATTTTGTGATCGCGAACATTCTTTGAAATGCACCACGCATCGAAGCATTCAAGGTAATCAGCGATCTCCCGCAGAGAACCATTTATAGGAAATTTCACAAGGTTACATAGTTCCATCGCGACGCCAATTTGTTGTAATTATTTGTAATCATAGTATTAGTATTTCGACATGACCGAATTACAAGAATCCAACAAACACACAGAGAGGGCGGAATTCAGGAATTTGTGTTTAGCGGAATTATTATCAATTCATATAAGAAACATATTAACAACCAACAGTAAGTATTTAAACAATACAGAGATAGAAATTGTCAATCACCAGAGCTAAGCGGTCAAGTAGTACTACTATGAATATAACATAACTGTCACCAGAGGTCCAGCTGAATTGATAGATGCACAGAGATGTGGGAAATCTATCTAGCTTATATTATACTTGGTGTGCGTCCCAATGATTCGTCAGCTAGAGAATGACAAACATAGGTGGTATGCTGCGTAAAACGTTTCTCGTGTACTCCTGTACTCGGATAGCCCATTCCATCTCCGTCAAGGAATCGTGAATAAACATATCTTTCTTGCTCTGTTCGTAAGACACTGAAGAATATTTCTTTTATATCTATCTAATTGGCAGGTAACTGAGGAAGTGTGTGTATTGCCCGTATGAATGTGCTTTTTCTATACACTCTTCTCCCAAGTGACCCATCTTCTCGCCTGCTTAGCAAGACATCCCGAAAATGTGGTTTATTATCCTGCTCCTCTTCATAAGTAAAAGTAAGCGAAGGGTGGACATTGTTGAATTTCACCAACCAATCGTCTATGTTTACATTCCCATCGGCTAAGATGAATGTATCATTGACATAAGGGTAATACATATCAAACTCTTTGATGATGTCTTTCAATTTCCTGTTTTCAAGTTTTGGGGGAGAGAAGTCAGCTAATATTGGGCGTAATGGTGAACCACCCGTAGGTATTCCATCTACTTGTTGGAAGTATGAATTATTGAAGACAAAGTGTACATTGATTGTGCATCTAAGGAGTAATTCTTTGAGACTACACAAGGAAATTGCTAAGTCCAATTGACTTTCGGTGACTTCTTGACAAATGTAATCTACTCTTTCCATAAGTGGTACACTCGTGAATAGTGCTGTTACATGCATGGATAACATGCGTTTATCGCTCACATTTGTCTCGGATATTTTAGATATAAAGTCGAAGACTCCACTAATTGTATATCTGACGATTTCTTTGTGCAAGGATCTCAGAATCCTGGCTAACCAATTCGCTCTTCCGTGAAATGGAGAGTTGTACATATATATGTATACAAAACTAGTAGATAAACCACAATGAAAGTGTTGTATGATTTCGATTGGTAATTAGCGCGAGCGTTCGAGAAGTGGGAAGAATGCTGAACAAGATACGATTTCTGTTAATACTAGTAATCCATTCTGGTATTTCGAGGATTTATGAGGCTTTCGTTACTAAATGAAAAAGACATTCCTTTCATCGATTAGTAAATAATTCTTCTTCATACATGAGGTCTAACAAAACTCAATATGTGCCTGCATCTTCATTATTTCACTAAAAGTGTATGCGTGATTATTAGATAATGACTGGTGCAATAGTCTGTGTGGACATGATTTACTAGACATTCTTGCTTGACACGATGACAATGACTAAATATTATCGTCCCATCATCATCATCATCATCATCTAAATATGTTATTATATATACATATACATATATGGGAATAGAATGTGAGGACTAATCTTACTAACCCACTGGATTAATTCTCGCGAAACCCAATTTCCTTGAAGTGAACAAAGAATTTGGAAGGCCCATTACATGTCACGATGATGGAAAGTGAAGCAACGATAGCGGCCTTCTTGGTGATGATGATGATAAGCCGCCTCGCCTACTTCGACACTGTGCTTGACACTAACTGTCTCTCTCTCTCTCTCTTTACCCCATCCTTATCTAAGCTGTCATGAAATGGATAGACAACTTGACTGAAATTATTATTATTATTATTTCTCACTGAGTTAATTAATTAGCAAATTAACTC